CCTGCTGAATCCAGAGATCTGTAGCTACTCTTCTTGCTGCTGCACAATGTTCTAGCATGAACGAAAAGGCCAAAGGGCTGTTTGAAACTGAAGGCTTTCCGTGGCATTTCCCAAGTCCCGAGTACCGTGAAGGATGAACTGTGGTGGCACAGAGCTGTCCATAATCAGAAGCTGGCCTTACCATGAGAAGTGAGAGGCTCTTTGTTTTCCTGAGCAAGGGCTCTGCTCTCCTAACTGAGGAAACAGCTTTGCAGGCAACACAAGGGCTACCGCAGCTCTCTGGGATCATTTAATTATTCATGCAAGTTGCAACTAGATGCAGATGCAGCGAGTTCTCTTACAATAGAGAATAAAATGGAAATACAGAGCTGTTTGTTCTTCCATCTCCCAACAATACAACTTTCTCTTTTTCATCAGCAGGAGAATCACCTTCCTTAACTCAGAAATCATAGCAGAAACCAAGCATTTATTTTAAATTCCTATAAAGGCTGTGACATCAGGTTAATTGTATTCTTCAGGGTTGCAGACATCTTTTCTGGGATTTGCAGCTACCTCAACAGATGCAGAAATAACGGATGCCTGGATTACTTTGTGGGTGGGGGTTCCTCCAGAGAAGTATTTTTCAGGGGCTTTATCTGGTTCTAGCCCTGCTAGGGAGGATGGAGAAAATGAGAGAAACTGACTAAAAACAAAATCCAAAATATTAAAATTATGTGAAGAGGGGCAGAGATTAGGGAACAAACAGATTTCTGTGACTACCAGAGAAGCAGCTGGAAACATCTTTGGCATCCCAGACCACAGGGCTTTTAAACAGGGAAATAACTTGCACTTTTCCTGGAACACTGATAAATTGGCTTTCTTAGGCTGGTAGCATCTTAAACTTTACATCATTATTCAAGAACAGACAGGATTAGATTAGGCATTCTCTTTTCAAAGATTTGCTAAAGTGAACTCCCAGTTCAGGTCTGGTGCCAAACAGCAGCAGCTAAACACTAGAAGAAGCTGCTGAGCACTTGCAGTAGTTGGCCACAGGATGTGTATGAGTAGTGAAGGTGACACGTGGCATGGTGATTCCACTCAAACCTGCTGCAATAGCTGCTAGGCGCAGAGGCTGGCAGGACAGTTCTACCCTGCTACAAGGGCTGTGGGTAGCCTGTGATGGCGAGAGATGGAGACGCTGGACAGAATTCCCTTGCACCAGCATCTCACGGGCAACAGACAATCTAAATTGCAGCGCTGTGCTTGGTTTTTTTGGTGAAGCTCTCTGAGGTGCTATAGTCATTCCTCCTTCTTTTCATCTATTAGACACCGTAACAGAGACAAGCCAGCTTGTTCACTAAGGGGTGAGCCCCAAACTCACTTTGTCACTCTATTGTAATTCTGACCTGCCAAGTCTCACGTATGACATGTAAGCTACACACCTCTGGCTCCTGTGCCAAATCCACCTCCACAGAGTGAGAACGGCCACTGCCCTATAACCCATCCTGTTCTGCCAGCAGCATCTTTCATGGGATCCCAGAGCAGGAACAGGGCTGGAGCACTGCAGCTGGGGGAGGACCAGAGAGCAGGCTCTCGAGGGTCAGAGGAGATGTGCAGAAATATCTCTTAGCTTATCTGTGGATTCTTAGACCTCAGACTCTGCACGTCCTTGACAGGCATGAGAACATCTGCTACCTGACTTACAGAGTACCACACATCAAGTCCTGTGGAAGTGGAAGGGATGAATAATTCACAGAAGAAGTGATAAAGCATAAGCTCCTGTTTAAACTTTAGCTATGCACTTGTATCTTGCAAAGTTACAGGCAGCCAACTTCCTATCCAAAAGGGCAGTGGGAAGAACATACAGACGAAATGGCAAGACTACTCTAACATTACTTTAAACTACCAATTCTTACCTCATTTCAATGTCCCACAACGCTGCATCATCACTTATCCAGGGATTGGAAGGCTCAGCAGGAGTTATAAAGGGGTCATATTCCACATACTGCTCTGTATAGGCTATTAAACTGACAGATATAAAAAAGAAGAAGAAAGAAAGAAAGAAAAGAATCAGGGCCTGAATGCTCAGTCACATGTCAGAGAGGTACAGCTTTCCTTTTTTTCTTTTTTTTGGTCTGCTTCTTTTTATTTTTGTAGGGATTAGTCAGTTTCTCAGCAACCACAGGAGCCCCTTTTGCCAGGGATGGTGCCTGCAAGGATTTCTCTGCAAACACCCACCAGCTCACTGCAGTATTTTCCTCAAGCTCGCCTCTGTCGAGATGCCTGCAGAAAGCCCCATGAGGCAACAACTGGATTGCTATGGTAGGATTCCCCCCAGAGGGCCATGGGATGACTATGAAGCGCATGTCCTTCACTTAATTTGTTGCACGTTGCTATTGCCTCCTGGTCTTTTGGTTTTTTTGCAGACTTTTGCACCCACTTTATGCATTATGAGTAACTAATTTAAATAGGGTCATGTGCTGTAGCTAAGAATACACTTAAATCTTTGGAGGATCGCAGTCCTGAGCATCAAAGCTTCAGGCTACAGATAATTTTTTTGTTACGTTGGCATACTGTTTAGTCTAATGGCACTATTGTAAAATACTTCAACAGTAGTTTATAATAATTAACGTAGAATGTAGTAAATTATATGCATGTTGGAAAAACACCTGGCCTTTATGCTGGCTTGCTTCATGACGAGTCAGATAAGACACACAGCCTCTAATCCTCACTAGGGTGATATTTAAAGACCTTCCTGGGAAAAGGGCTGTGTCTGCTTGCATAAGTGATTCAGGAATTCCGCTGGGGTTGGGGCTAGGGGCTCATTTTTACAAAAGAAAGGCAGCATATATGAAATAAATCAGAAGAAATTTGTCCTAGTCTATATTGGAAATACTCTAAGGCACTTTTTAATTTTTTTGCCTAGGTCTGCCAAGTAATTAACTAAGTTAATTGAGTCTCATCATACTGAACAACTAATCTGCTTGCACTGCGATTGCCCATGCTAAACTTTACCTCTGATCTTCCACACCTCAAAAAGGCAGGAGAATGAAAAGACCCTGTGAAACAAAGGGTCACAAAAGGCAGAAAGTTTCCCTGACCTGCTCTACAGTAATTATTTCTTTTTGTTTGTCCTAGCTCTTATCATGAGGCATTAAAATCATACACTTTTGTAACCACAGCAGGTTCCCATTGCCCCTCAGGGCACTCGGGGCTGTCTCATCTCATTTCATTAATTACATTTCATGACTGCTGTGGGTCAAGGGTTGGAGGAGGGAGCAGCGTCCAATTTCAGAAAGCAGCAGCAATCCCTAAGACATCAATGAGAGAGAGGGTTGGTTAAAAAAACCCAAAAAAACCCCACACCAACAAAAAGGATCAATCAGTGAAACTTGAATTGCTCCTAATAAAATAATAAGAAGGCATCAGAGGTGCTAGTACAACAACTACTAGCAAAAATAAAAGGGGAAAAAACTAAATTAAATGAAACACCGAGGATTTGCTAAGTGCATTTTGCTGATTCAATACAATGACAGCAGTGGAATCGCTGCCTCATTGTCTAAAGGAGGTTGCAGGCAGGGGAATCCTAAGGGGAAGCACTTCTGTCAAAATGCAAACCTGGATTTCTGGCCTTTGAGGTGATGCTCTGTAATTCTGGTAGAAGAGGTGGTGGGAAGAGTTCACTGAAGGGTGAAGAGCTTGCCTTGAGAACCCAACTATCTTGCAATCAGGGGGGCCCTGCTGAGCCTTCACAGTAACTTTGAGGAGCTGAGAGGATAGCACAGATTTTCATCTAGGGAGCCAAGACTGCTTCTGGTGGGAAGATGCTCTGGTTTTCCCCCTGCCATTTCTGCGGTGCCACATGTAGTGAGATTGCACTAACACTGCACAGTGTAGTCAGGGAAAACAGTAGGTTAGAATATATTGATAGTTTTGCTCAATAATTCTCAAATCTCATTGCCAACTCCTAAACCTGACAGTGTGCAGGTCCCAAGTGGGGAGAAAGGATGTGGAAGAAAGGAGAAGATGACTCTTTCCAAGGTGCCTGGAGCAGCTGAGGGATTCCTGCTCCCACAGCTGGTGCAGATCTACTCCTGGAAGGGGAACAGGAAGGAGGGGGAAGAAAATCTTTAGTAGTGGGCATTTATTTTGTGGGAGCTAGGGATAACCTTTTGAGAGCCCTTCCATTCCTCTTCTGCTGAACATGGGCTATTGCATAGAATAGCATGCATTATTGGAAAATGCATGCAATCGGTCTATCACTATTAAAATAATTCATATCTTATTCCTCTAACAGATTAGACAGCAGCTTGTTTCCCTCACCACCCCCTGCCTTATTTGCTCCTCGTTACTTCCCTCATCCTGCCTGAAAGAGCCTTTACGCTGTACTGAAAAAATGGCAGGTGGTGCCACTGTCAGGCTTGGCTGTCGAAAAGAGCGTGCCAAGACATCGTCTCCTGCACCCTGATCTGCCACGCTGCCACCTAAACTAGTCCTGAAAGCGGGGACCAGCCTGAAAAGTGACTGGCTAATAACAGCACCTCCTTACGCAGCAGATTTATTCCCGGTGTTTGTGTTCAGCATTTTACATTGGGCTTTCAGGCCGCGCAGGCTTTTATTTCAGGGAATTGTTCAACTCGTGTCATCTGCATTCATTCCTCCTCACCCATCCCCACCTCTGCCAAGCCACTGGACTCATCAGCCCCTTCACTTCCCTCCCACCTGCTCTGGGATGATCCACATCCAGGCTGCACTTCCCACCACTCTCCGCACCCAGCCCTGGGACCCTCCAGCAACACTGCCACCCAAAGTCATCACATAACCCAGCACTTCTTCACACGATATAAATATCACAACCACAATTTTCCTTCTTTATAGTTTCAAAATGAAACTTTCAAAACAGGAGAAAAGAACTTTTTGATTATTCTCATTTTACTTACTTTCCTCCTGGTTATCGATTTGCACAGGTTTTGATAGCAACATTTTATTCTCCAATTTGGGACAAATTAAAAAAAAAAAAAAAAGCCCTTTCAAACCAGGAAAATCTTCTGTCCAGTTTTACTGAAAACTGATAGATTTTTTCGGCATTGACAATGTTACATTTGTAATGTCAGTAGCTCCTTATGAGCTTGAACCACAGGTGTGTTATGTTGACAGGATTCGATGTTCACAAGTGAATGAGTTTTACTGAGTCCATCTTATTGAATAAATACCTACCTAGAAAAAATTAAGCAAAACAGATCTGCTTGCTTGTAAATTACCAGCCTGGAAATTATTACTGTCTCAGTATATTAAGGTCATTGTAAGTAAATTCAGTACAAAATGACATTTTCTGGTAAAGCGCAAAGGTATCTTCTTAACAAAAAAGAACCAAAAAGCCCAAAGCATAAATATGAATGTGCTAATTTCACTTGTACAATATAGCGTATGCACGATTTCAGGGAGCCTCTGAATACTTTCTACTTAATTGGAGAAATTTTAATTTTAATTGTTAAACCTTATGAGCCAATAGGAACTTACTTTTGGGCTCTCTCCACTTAATTTGCCCAGTTTAGTACACACATGCTAATTACAGGTGCAGGCACTGCAAAGCACATTTCATACGGTAATGTCTTTTTAAATTTGCTTAAATAAAAATTCCTCTATTATTTCTCTACAAGGCACCACCCCTTATCATGTCCCCCATGTTCAATACAGTTTTGCTCTAAAAGTGATGTTACTGAAGAGCATGCTGATCCCTTTGTTTGTCTCAGTGATTCCCCTGCAAATGTGCATAACTTACAAGAATCTAAGTAAAGGAGCTGTCATTCTCAATTAAATTCAAGCTTGTTCTTTACCTGTTCCATACTTTCCTATCAGAACGCAATATTCTGCAAGTCAAGTTGTGCCTTGATTTGCCTCTATGAGAAATCCACCTCTTAAACCACTGCCTTGAGTAGTCCAAGTACAACGCCAGTACTTCCTGTAGGGTTTTGTATATGTAAATGAGAGCAGAAACTGGCCCTACAACCCCAGTATGAACATGGACTTGAACACCACGTGCAACAAGACTCAAATGCAGCTCCCTCCCCAGAGCCGTGCCAGACTAACAAGAGATGAGCACTGAGAGTTCAGCCACAAAAGAAAAAAGGGTATTTTCAAATTGAAACAGGAATGACTTTTCTGTAAATAAACTCTAGGTTGTAAAGGGGTGGGAAACAAAAGTACTGCAAGGGTTCTTTCTTTTGTGAATAGTATTTTTTTTTCCTTTTACAGTACGTCAGCATCCTCATTTTCCACCTACTTTTTGTCAGTGGCAGAAGAGCGAGTGCAGAAGTGCCAGTGGTCAGCAGACAGACAGCACAGCCGGTCAAGGAGGGGGAAGGATTGATGCACAGAAAGGGGACCAGCCTTTGTGTGTTCCTGCCCGCGCTCTGTTTCTGGAAATGCCAAAATGGAGGTGAGGAAAGAATGGGAAATCATGCAAATGGGGACACTCACCTTTCTGCTACTTTGGACATCTTTAAACAATGCCTCTCTATCTGCACGTTCAGAAAAGTTATCTGAGGAGAGAGATGACAAGGACATTAACAATCCATGAGCTGTACAGCATGCATCAACCATATCCCAACATGCTATTGATTTCTCTTTCCAAACAGCTTGAAAGTAACTTGGAAGGAAATGGGACCCTTCCCTAGGTATTAGGAGCAGCTTATTAACTGCTTCCAACAGGAGTCTCCATTCCCTATGGCAAAGCCCGAGGGGAAGCTTCAGAAGACATAATTAAAAGTAGGAAAGGCACACGTTTGGGGCCAAGGTTCCTAGACTACTCAGGGTGCAATATGATCTTTTTACACCACACTCCTCTCTTCCATTTCTCTAACTGACTGGCACCACAAGACCAATAACGGTTTTACAGTGCATTTGCACTCTGCTACGAACTAGTTCTTCACAGTACTCTGCAGCCTACGTTGCCTGTGATGGAAAAAGCTCAAGAAATTTAGTGTTCAGAAGACCACCTTAAAACTGGCTGCTTAAGAAACACGTTTAAAGCTGCTTTTACTAAAATGCTGACCTAGCGATTCCTGCCTGTACTTCAGTGAGTGCTGCTTGTTGCAGGAAAGTAATTTCAAGGGAGAGCTCCTTGTGCCGGGCCAAGGATGTGTGAGCTGGCTGGTCATTCCTTGGGAGTGACTGTGCAAGTAACTTTTTCCTAGTACCCTAAAAGTTCTGACTGTACAGTCTAACAGTCATGCACTGAACGATGCCCTTCATCACCACCCATCCTGAGCCTGTGCCCCACTTTTCAGACATCCTCACTGCCCACTTTTCAGACATCCTCAGTGAACTGGAAATTAATCTGTCTACTGGTCCACAGACAGAATAATAATAGATTCAAAGGTCAGTATTACCCATAATACATATCATCATACAAATACATTGCTCAATGAATATGTATCTTTAAATACTACTTTATTGCGTAAAGTATGTGAGGATCAAGGGCGAGTAAAGCACACAATTGGTTTTGCTGATACCTCAGTAACTTTATATGGGATTTTTTATTGTTTTGAGGTTTTGGTTTTTTGGGTTTGTTTCTTTTTTTTTCAGATAACAGTTCTCACAAGAGTTGCCATATAGCCACCTACTTACTTGTTTCCGGAAATCCTCTTTTGTAGTTTTGCGTACAGGTTGGGAGGGCACATGTACAGGGCTTTGGGACTGAGACTCCTCTGTAACCCCGTACACTGACTGTAAGGAACCAATTAATAAAGCAGAAGAGATTATGGCATTTTTCTCTGTTATGCAATGAGGAAAAGTGCAGTATGCAAAGCAGTAAGGTAACAAGCCAGCTATTTCCTACTGTTTATATCCATACAGGTCAATAATCATTCAGCTTGGAGGGAGTTGGGCTTGTTCAGCCTGGAGAAGAGAAGGCTGCGCAGAGCCTTTCAGTACTTAAAGGGGGCCTATAGGAAAGACAGGGAAAATCTTTTTAGTAGGGACAGCTGTGACAGGACAAGGAGTAATGGTTTTAAACTGAAGCAGGGTAGGTTTAGGCTGGATATAAGGAAGAAATTCTTTACAAGGATGGTAATGAAACACTGGAACGTGTTGCCCAGAGAGGTAGTGGAGGCCCCATCCCTGGAAACATTCAAGACCAGGTTTGTCTGGGCTCTAAACAACCTGATCTAGTTAGCGGTGTCCCTGCTCACTGCAGTGGGGTTGGACTAGATGACCTCTAGGGGTCCCTTCCAACCCCATTCTATGATTCTATGAAAATTTACAGATCAGACCGTGCTGCAGACACCTGCACTTGGAGGGTCTGCAGGCATGTTAAGAAAAGAAGTTATTTTAGATGTTAAAATGCAGCTGGTATTTTTTAGGAGCTCTGAAGGCTGTGTGTGTCAACACTTGCAGGATGAACACTGGGAGCGGTCATTGTGGTGAACCAAGCAGAGAAAGAAAAAAACTAGGATCTAATCCTATGCCATTTTTTTGACTTGGTTTAATTTCTTGTTGTAAAACTACACATTGAAGAACGAGCTTAACCAGGTGTCAATGGGTCAAGTTCACATGAACCTCTCTAAACAAAAACCTGCAGATTGACTTCTAGCCATCCGTTTTCCGGACAAAGACCTGCACTAAAAGTAACATCAGTTACCCGCTTGTGCTTGTGCTTTTGCTTTTTATTTAACATTTGTAAGAGACATGCGAATAGCTCTGCTGCAATTTAACTGCCAAAGAAAGTTCAGGAGTCTGGTGTCACCTCCAAAACAGGTAACAAGCTATAGGACAAGAGGAAACAGCCTCAAGTTGCACCAGCGGAGGTTTAGATTGGATGCTAGGGAAAATTTCTTCACCAAAAGGGTTGCCAAACACTGGCACAGACTGCTCGGGGAAGTGGTTGAGTCCCCAACCCTGGAGGTACTTGAAAGATGTGTAGATATGGCGCTTAGGGACACAGTTTAGTAGTGGACTTGGCAGTAGTAGGTTTACAGTTGAATTCTATGATCTTAAAGGGTTTTTCCAACCTAAATGATTCTATAATACTATATACACAGAAAAGCTAAAAGTTGCTGGAAGTCAAAGACACCCAAGTTGCTAATGATCCAATCTTTGAAATTATTAAGGTAGATAAACAGCTCTGAAAAATCTGTGCCCAAATAATTTCTGAAAATGGGACCTAGGGACTTTTGCCAATTGCTTTTAATTTTAATTTTTAATAAGGACTGCAGAGCCAGGTATCATCTGGAACAGAGCTCCTTAATGCCCTTCTCAGCTCTACCCATCACCCAGACTGTACTGCTCTGCTGGTAAAACAGGAATAGTAAATTCACCAAGTAGAACAAAACAGAAGTGCTATTTGCAAAACGGTTTTTTGGTTCCTATTGGGTAAGTCTGATATACTGTAGGTGTCAAGCATGATCTGCATTAAAAACAAAAACAACAACAAAACCCCACAGCCAAACCCAGAAACTGACCTTTTTCACCTTCTGCGGGTTTTTCATACGACGACACTTTCTAATGTCCATTTCCGTGGTGTTCACACAGCCCGGCTGAAAAGCAACGGCAATGGTATCACTCATCTGTTTACAATCCACATGCCACCTTAGCTTTCTAAAATGTACAATTAGATCTTGTCCAAAATTCTTTCCTGAAATTTGTGTCCCATAAATTATCCTTGCTAAACAAGAGACTGCACATACCCTAAGTTAGCATCTCAGCATCCAATCCATTTACTCATAACTTTGGCACCAAAAGGAAATACTGCAGCTAAGAGGGGAGCTTTTTCTAGGAAGTCTGAGCCAAACTGGGTAAGCTACTTTTCTTTCATATGCACAATAATCTTAAAAAACTTCATATTTATCACGTATTTCCAAATCAACGGTTCCATGCATGCACAAGCCTAGAATGTCTAAAACAATCTTGTAGACACTTGGTGTATTTTGAACTGTGAGGAAAATCCACGTGGTGACTTTAAAGGCAATGTCTTCATGCAGTACATGGCATGGTGTTTACTAATATTAAAAGTTTCCTGTCAAAACCTGGAAAGTCTCATCATTCAAAAAGAGCTTTACCACAGGCCTGTGCACATCCCAGAATGCTCTCTCCTGGCTGTCCAAAATCTTTCTTTCTGTTTTATCCTTTTTTCTGTCGATTCTGAAAGCCAAAGCACAAACGTATAAGTCAATGTACAAAAATGCTTTCTTCTTTGTTATAGTTCCTAGCTGGGGTTTTTAACCCCATGATAAAAAAACATTCAGAAATCCACTTTGTTGTACAGCAATGCCACACTCCTGCTTGCAAGGCCATGTGCCATGAACAAAATATCACTGATGTTTACTCCAACGTGGCAAAAGAGATTTTCCTATTAAGGTGGAAAATTTACCTTAACATCTGTTTTTTCAACTGGAGAGGAAAACAAACCTTTCCCGATACTCTGCTCCCAGACTGTGAGATTTGGCAGGCTGGAGAATTTCGCGTTTGGCTTTGGCTTTGTCAGGAGACTCCCCAGGAGTTTTTTTCTCTAGGTGAAGCTCTCAGCTGGTGCTGGATGGAGATCCATGTCGTGAGGTCCCGTTGCACCCCGGTGCCCCAGTGGCAGCACTGGCATGACCACAGACAGCGAAGGGGCAGCTATCCCAGGCATTCCCAGCAGCGACAGCACAGGCAGCACTTGGGGACACCCTCCTTAGGGCTTTCAGCAGACTGGCTCTGCCCCCCACCCTGGTGTTGGCAGAGCGAGGGGTGACAGCACGGGCAACCAGAGCAGAGCTGGCTGCATGGCCCCATGCAAGCCAGCACTTGCCCAAGAGACACACGGACTGGGCCAGCACAACTGTAACTCAGTAATTTCAGCCCTGATGCAGCCAGTGGATCAACTCACTCAAAGCACACACATCAAAGGCGACCGGAGGGCGTTCAAAACAACTGTTCCCCTATCTCCTGGCAGCATTAAGCAATTCGCTTCTGGTGCCTCACTCCTGTGCTCAGCTCTACACGTGAGCACAACAAAGTCACCATCAGCTTGCAAGATCAACCTGTGGGAAGGCTGGGTGAGGCACAGGGAAGGAGGAACCGCCTTTGCCTCCAGAGCAGGACTGAAAAGATGACAGCATCCCTGTGCCAGGTTTCTGCACTGCCACCACCCAGGAAAATGAAAGCAGTGAGGAAAAAAAACCACACCAGCTGGGATTTCTGACCATCAGGTTCTCCCCTCTCCAGTTTTTCTTTTGGAAAGGCACTGATCCTTGTCTAAGCCTGTGCTAGAAAAGGGATTAGGAAACGGGGGACTGAAACTGAAGTTTCTGAACACCCATCCCCAGAAAAAGCCTGAGTCCTCCACAGCTTGGTATCGGTCTCTGAATATCCTCCCTGCAAAGCTGAGATGAGAAAGCAGCTCTGCACCAGCTCTGTCCCCCCACAAAGACAGAGCAGCCACCAGATATCAGTCATTGTACTGCGCTGCGGAGCAAACGCAGACACCCAGCCCAAAACTTCTTTTTTCTAAGCAAGCCCTTCGTGCCCAGCCAAAAGGGAAGGTGAAGTCTTCGGCCAACCTCACACACCACACCAACTTCAGAGGCTCCACGAATTGTCTTCAGGGGTGCTTTGTGCTCATCTGAGGTACTTGTTCATAACCCCAAACTTACTGATAAACCAGTATTTCATATTTTAAACTATGACAACACAACACAATTAGATTCTCTGTGGCTGCAGTTTTTGCAAAGGAAATCCTGTGTGCAAACAAGGACATGGAAGGCAGAACAGAACTTGATAAGCAGGAGGAATGTTTTCAGGTATTTTTGCTTTGTTTTCCTTTTTAGTTAATTCAGGGCTGTGAATTACACTGTGAATTCCAGCCCTGCCTTGTTGAAAACCCGAAGATTAAACCATCACATGAACTGGGAACCAAGAAGCTGAAACTAGCCAGCAAGAAAAGTTGATAGTGGGTAGTCCATGCTTACACTTCAAAGAAAAATGAATGTAGAAAAGAGGAATAAGCGACAGTGATGATGTCAAGAATCTGATATTTACATTTCTTTCTTAGATAATAATTGTATGCTGTGGAGAGAATGCAGAATTTTGTTTTGACTTAGATTTTAATTTTTTTTTCATCTTGGCAATAAACCTTTAAGTAACTGAAAGTACAATTGCTATCTTAACTCCTAATTTTCTCTTCCAAACAGAACACTGGTATTCTGGTTGGAAAAAATCCCTTAATTACCTTGTAAATTAAAGGATAATTACCATGTACTTAAATAGTGCATAATTACGATGTTATTAAGCAAAGAATTCATCAAAATTCCAAAGAGTTAATCAAAGATAGAGACATATACCGCAGCCACACCCTCAAGAAATGATGTTCCTTAACTTTTTTAGCATCTAATGCTGAAAGTGCAAATTCCTTCTAGTGGTACCGTGTCAATACTGAGGTTCTCACACACCATCACCACCAACTTTTCCGTTTTATAGGTGACAACTACATGCAGAACATGGACATGGAGGGTTTCAGGTGCTAGTTTGTAGACACCAGTCTACAAACCCTAGACCATACCCATGTTGCAGCAATAATGAAAACATGCCCAAAACATTGAGAGGCTTTGAACTGTTTTCACAAGGGAAGATGAGGGGAAAAAAAAAAAAGGAAGTTTCAGTTCAGTTATGAGCACAGGATAGAAAAAACCCAAATACTAAAGCTGAGTAAGTTTCATGTAAGTGGTACTTAATTCTCCACGCTAATTTAGTAGCACAGGTTGGGACTGCAGAGAGTAGAGGTACAATAGAATCAACTGGGGATTAGTATAAATGAGAAAACCAAATCCAGTCAGCTGTAAATACCACCCTTATAATCACTTCGAAGTGGCAGTAGTTTTAAACTAAGAAATACTTTACAAGCACAGAGTAACACAGATGACAAAGTTCTGTTCTTCCCATTTACACAAGACAAAAATACTGCACAAAAGTAGAAGCTGAGTGGCCAAGCTCCCATGGTGAATCCAGGCTAAGGAGCTCCTGACCAACATTTCCATGTACAGATAACTAAACCCATCTTTCAGATTCTGGCACAAACCTTCAGACGTGGCTCTCTATTGTTTCTAGTCTGCTGGTGATTAAAATTCACCAACACCATCTAGGCTTAGTTGCAGTAAAGAGAAGTTTTATCTGTACAGAATCCCCTCCCCTTCACAGGTCTAAATACCGGTGTGGTTTAGTGCTCCAGGATTACTCACTTCACTTGGGCCTCAGCTTGCATGAAGATGAATTCCCACTTTCTTGCAAACGCTCTCTGAAGCCTTGCTAAGTTTTCCTGACAAAAGATAAAAATAGTAAGAACAATTAACCCCTGTAAGTATAAAAACTGCTTAAGAATGCAGCACGGCGGGCATTTATTTTATTCCTTTTTTTTTTTAAGCTGGAAAACTCAAGACATGGCAGTTGGTGTTGCTTTCAGGTGAACTATCTTGCAGTCAAAGCAAGGTTGTAACACATCCTTTTGGGCTGCAGCCCCGTAGCTGCAGCCAAGAGGGCCCTGTCAGGGAGATGTAATGGAGTGTGATGAAGACAGCCTGAGTTCTACTATGAAAATAATGATGGACTCATTCCCCAAAAGATAACACTGAGAAGCTTTATGAAGCTGACGACTTTCATTTCTGATAGCAGATGGCTGCCACCTGCACATTTCCCTCTCATCCCCACTCCCCCTTCCTCCCCCCGCTGCTCGCTTCTCTTCAGGCATTTGCTAAGGTGCAAAGCCTGAGCATCCCTCGCTTTGCTCAGTCCTGGTCACCGCTGAGAGCATTACGCAGCTGCACAGCACTGAAGGCTGGGGATTGCCAGGATGATTTATAAAAGGAAATAGCTTGTTTGCCTGAACAACGAACATCGCTAACTGCAAAGACTGGGTCCAGATGCAGCCTTGCTCTACATCTGAAGTAAGAGCTCTTGTCCAGACCCATTACAGAGTGTCGTGATCTGAACATTTGGAGGTAAGATGTGACTTCATCACAGCTCAAGGTCAAACTCAGGACATGGACAGAATTTCAGGCTCAAATGGCACCCCGAAGTCACATATTCACCCCCACCCTGACAAGGAGGCCTACAACACCCACTGCAATGAACACTACTAATTCTACTGCTGTTCTTTTTATACCTATTCCCTTTATTTCAAAAAAGCGCTTAAGTGCACGCATTTCAGTGCTAGAAGAAATCTTTTTATTATTTACTTTAAACTCTTGTGTAACAAGGCATAAAGCTTGGTCCTGTTACCACCAAGTCTGTGTAAGAGTTTCAGTCCATATACACGGAAGAAAACAGTTAAGCAAATGATTTACAGCTGTGCTGATTTCCTTAACTGTGGCTACAAGGAAGAACTACTTGTAATTATCTGCAAACCCAATTTTTTGTGGGTTTCTTTTTTATTTTATTTTATTTTAAATTATGTTCACATGTGCCCTCGGGAGTAAACATGCTGAAGCCAATGAAACATCACCAATTGAAGCAATATTTGAATCATGCTTACGTTTGACCAATTGTAAACAAAATTGAACGCAATTATGCAAGCTTAATCATATCATCAAGACCCCTTCTCTAACAGTATTAATGGGGGTGGGGGTTGTCTATGAATGCTGCAAGCAGAACCTAAAAATGAGAATATGTCCCCTGAGATACTTTGTAGAGATTCTCTTTGGAAACTCCGGGTCAGTGCTGGTGCCTACGGAGAGGCATTCTCATACTACATCTCCAAAAACGTGTTGTAAATACACAGGGCTCCTTCCCACTCCTCTAAGCCTGTTTCTCGCGCTTGTGCTCAGCTTACATCTCCATTGTTGGATCTGCTTCAGCTCCCATAATGACTCGGAAGAGTTGGTGCCATTCTTATCTGATTGTCTCTAATTAAGAGGGCAAAGTTTGAATGCAGAAGCAATCTCTAATTGTGCAATGCAATATTCACAAGAAAAATGAGAGACTGCCAAGATCTAATTATTTGCCATCACTGGAGCATTGCTACTCTCAGTAGACAACGAAGTGCAGAAGTACTTAGCCATAGCCTCGCTGCATGTGTGTGGGAGTATGTGCGCTGCTGAACAGCCTTTTGTTGCTTTATGATAGATCTTTAGAGTACTTACAGTTAATTGGTTGGCTGTGAGCAATTTTAATGGTTTTAATAATGAAATCAACAATATGCAAAAGAGAAAACTCAGCAAAAGGATGTGCATGCAGATTATTATTTTCCTTCCTTCATGCCTGTACTTCAAGATTAGAACACTTGGGAACTCCGGATGCATTTCCAGGGTGGACTAGATAAGCAGCAATTTTTGCATGCTCTTCACTGAAAGGACCAAGTGGCATGTATATATATCCATGTGCACAAAAGTACCCAGATGAAGAAGGAAAATTTAATTTTTGGAAACAAATCCTAAAATCTATGCAATATAAATGCTTTCATTGTAATAAATATGAACACGGAAGTCTACTAGAACCAGCTTTGTAAACAAACCCTCCAACAAAAAACTCCACATTTGAAATTCAGCTGTTACACTGTTAAGCTAGTAAACAAAAAAAAAGTCAATATGGTAGAAAGAAAAGTTCAGCTGGTCAGAGCATCACGCTTCTGGCATTCAACGAAACTCGCACCAGCCCTGCCCCTCTGGCCTCTGTCTTCCTACTCCTCTCCACTCAAACCCTGCACAGTCTGAAGCCAAGGCTGGGGATATTTTTATGAATAATCATTTCATAACAGAAAATACACCCTGAATAGGCTTGAGTAATACTTTTTATATGGCATATTGAAAAACAGTCCAAGTCTAATATCTGAAACTTCCCTTTTAAGGTCTGTAACTGGATGGGTCATCAGCAATTTACTTGCCCAGTAATGCACCTGAAAGTCATCAATTTTGTGTCTTAATATCTGCTATATAAACCAGAAACTGGTAACTGGGAAGAGGAAACCAATGGAAACTTCATGCAATTTCCCCAATCTTGGAGGACTGACTATGTAGCAGATGCTTTAATTTGAGATGTTGCAAAGCCAGGAACGTTCCCCAATCACGTTCCTGATGTTGTCTCCGTATCGATCTCCACACAGTTCTGACAACTGAAAAAAAGACACAGTAAAGGCTGACCCCAAAGCACAAAATGGCAGCATTCAATTGGCAAGCAAAGCTCTCCCTGCAGCCCCCATCTTTAAACTCTAGCAGCAGTGTACCTACGGCTTCATAATCCGCCAGCTCCAGCCTAGCTTTGTTCTGCATGGTCCGTTTGCAAAGATAGATGGCTAAAGGAAGAAACAGAATGGAAAACAATTACAGACAGATTATTAGTACTAGATCTTAAAAAAGAAAAAAGTGGTCCATGCACTGTTCGTTCTCATCAGAAAGCAACATGACGCAAGGAATGAGAGGGCTGAATACCCAGCTGACACTACCCACTAGTAATCTCAGAGGCCTTTAACACCTGGGACATCTCATTTAAAAGTGCTGAGAGTAGATGCCAAGACCTAACAAGATGTCTGAGAAAGGCACAATTGCTTCTGGGGCTGGTAAAAGATTTAGCATTAGTAACCTGCTCCCCTCAGCACTTTGGGAATATGCCTGCCAAAGTGAGCAGCCCTGCACTTCTTTTCCCCTTTTGCTTCTGTTTGTTTGATTTTTTTTTTTTTTTGTTTTTTTAAAAATTCAGGCTATTAAAATGAAAACAGAAGCATGGCACTTTTTCATATGCTTCATCCACTTATTCTGCGCATTTCAAATGGTTAAGAAAAGCCTTTCCACATTTCACCATAGGCAGACAGCAGAAACTGATGTGGTTTGGGATTCTGAAGGTCACGATGAGCTCAGTGCATGACACCAAGCCAGTGCCAGGCTGCCTTCAGGAAAAGCCTCAGCTAGACTGCTAGCTCACCCCAATTCCATTAGAGGCTGAAACACAAGGTCCCCAGCACACCCTGGGTGTACAGTCAGGCCTAAAGTACATAAGGGAGGATCCATCCATTTTGGGATGGATCCGGATGTGAATTTTATAGCTTCCTTGTGCTTTGCTCTCTCTCACGCTGCAGAGCCAGGTACTTATTGTCCAACGGTGTGCCAAACTGGAGCGGGGCAGAAGGCAAAGCATCATCTACACAAAACCGCAACAAATCTTTTTGAGAAAATTTCAGCTTTTCTTTGAAAACCATGGACCTTGGTTTCCTGATAAATACAATTTTCTGACACATTTGTAGATGTTTTCCATTGGAAACCTGTTCTTCTATTTAAAAATATATGTAAAAAACCAGCACTACTCATGTAACTCTATTCTGTGTTATTCCTATAATTCTAACCTTCATATAATGAGCCAATATTATGCATGGTAACCAGAGCTTGTGCATTTGTATATATACATCTCAAGAGCAGTTTCATCTGTAAGCCATTTACAACACCAAATAAAGCGAGAGTCAGTCATCTCACAGCATTTCTTCATGCTAGGCAGTGACCTGCCATTAGCAAGTTAGTTCCTGTCCTGCGAGTGAATCCATGCAAATAGAAGAAGTATGAAGAGCTGCTGGGATTTCAGTTTTATTTGGGTCTACTGCTAGTTTGGGATTAATTCCTGGGAAGACTCCATCTGTACAGGCCTCTGATATGCAAAGACTGATTATAAGCATATGTTAGAGATTTCTGGGACAGATGAAAAGCTGTCACTACAGGGCTCAGAGCTAACACAGTTGCAGCTTGTCCAGCTGTAGGTCAGCTCATCTAGTGCTTTATTTTGAGGTGTACTGCTCCACTCAATGCCCCTGCAGCACAATAATCTATGAAACCAGTTATTTATCAGATACTATATGAAAAAAACAGAACTTCCCTCTTCAGATTGTTATTCTGGTATTTACAGAATACATATTTGGCACAGTTCAGACAGTGATATACGGTGACTGTAAAATCTGGAAATTATTTTGCATATAATGAACAGCACCATGTTTTCTCCTACGCAGTTCCCTCACTGGGATAAATACGTAAGTCTGTGCTAGCTTCCCTGCAGATCAGGACTGCAAATGAACTATCACATGACAGACACCATTGCAGGCTAGTTCTCCACCCCAGCAAATGATTTCCAGAATCCATAATGATGAGCAATTATTGCCCAGGAAAGAAAAAAAAAAAAAAACTGATTATTCAGGGAGGACTTCTAATAAATGCTTTCATTGTAATAAATATGAACACGGAAGTCTACTAGAACCAGCTTTGTAAACAAACCCTCCAACAAAAAACTCCACATTTGAAATTCAGCTGTTACACTGTTAAGCTAGTAAACAAAAAAAAAGTCAATATGGTAGAAAGAAAAGTTCAGCTGGTCAGAGCATCACGCTTCTGGCATTCAACGAAACTCGCACCAGCCCTGCCCCTCTGGCCTCTGTCTTCCTACTCCTCTCCACTCAAACCCTGCACAGTCTGAAGCCAAGGCTGGGGATATTTTTATGAATAATCATTTCATAACAGAAAATACGCCCTGAATAGGCTTGAGTAATACTTTTTATATGGCATATTGAAAAACAGTCCAAGTCTAATATCTGAAACTTCCCTTTTAAGGTCTGTAACTGGATGGGTCATCAGCAATTTACTTGCCCAGTAATGCACCTGAAAGTCATCAATTTTGTGTCTTAATATCTGCTATATAAACCAGAAACTGGTAACTGGGAAGAGGAAACCAATGGAAACTTCATGCAATTTCCCCAATCTTGGAGGACTGACTATGTAGCAGATGCTTTAATTTGAGATGTTGCAAAGCCAGGAACGTTCCCCAATCACGTTCCTGATGTTGTCTCCGTATCGATCTCCACACAGTTCTGACAACTGAAAAAAAGACACAGTAAAGGCTGACCCCAAAGCACAAAATGGCAGCATTCAATTGGCAAGCAAAGCTCTCCCTGCAGCCCCCATCTTTCAACTCTAGCAGCAGTGTACCTACGGCTTCATAATCCGCCAGCTCCAGCCTAGCTTTGTTCTGCATGGTCCGTTTGCAAAGATAGATGGCTAAAGGAAGAAACAGAATGGAAAACAATTACAGACAGATTATTAGTACTAGATCTTAAAAAAGAAAAAAGTGGTCCATGCACTGTTCGTTCTCATCAGAAAGCAACATGACGCAAGGAATGAGAGGGCTGAATACCCAGCTGACACTACCCACTAGTAATCTCAGAGGCCTTTAACACCTGGGACATCTCATTTAAAAGTGCTGAGAGTAGATGCCAAGACCTAACAAGATGTCTGAGAAAGGCACAATTGCTTCTGGGGCTGGTAAAAGATTTAGCATTAGTAACCTGCTCCCCTCAGCACTTTGGGAATATGCCTGCCAAAGTGAGCAGCCCTGCACTTCTTTTCCCCTTTTGCTTCTGTTTGTTTGATTTTTTTTTTTTTTGTTTTTTTTAAAAAATCAGGCTATTAAAATGAAAACAGAAGCATGGCACTTTTTCATATGCTTCATCCACTTATTCTGCGCATTTCAAATGGTTAAGAAAAGCCTTTCCACATTTCACCATAGGCAGACAGCAGAAACTGATGTGGTTTGGGATTCTGAAGGTCACGATGAGCTCAGTGCATGACACCAAGCCAGTGCCAGGCTGCCTTCAGGAAAAGCCTCAGCTAGACTGCTAGCTCACCCCAATTCCATTAGAGGCTGAAACACAAGGTCCCCAGCACACCCTGGGTGTACAGTCAGGCCTAAAGTACATAAGGGAGGATCCATCCATTTTGGGATGGATCCGGATGTGAATTTTATAGCTTCCTTGTGCTTTGCTCTCTCTCACGCTGCAGAGCCAGGTACTTATTGTCCAACGGTGTGCCAAACTGGAGCGGGGCAGAAGGCAAAGCATCATCTACACAAAACCGCAACAAATCTTTTTGAGAAAATTTCAGCTTTTCTTTGAAAACCATGGACCTTGGTTTCCTGATAAATACAATTTTCTGACACATTTGTAGATGTTTTCCATTGGAAACCTGTTCTTCTATTTAAAAATATATGTAAAAAACCAGCACTACTCATGTAACTCTATTCTGTGTTATTCCTATAATTCTAACCTTCATATAATGAGCCAATATTATGCATGGTAACCAGAGCTTGTGCATTTGTATATATACATCTCAAGAGCAGTTTCATCTGTAAGCCATTTACAACACCAAATAAAGCGAGAGTCAGTCATCTCACAGCATTTCTTCATGCTAGGCAGTGACCTGCCATTAGCAAGTTAGTTCCTGTCCTGCGAGTGAATCCATGCAAATAGAAGAAGTATGAAGAGCTGCTGGGATTTCAGTTTTATTTGGGTCTACTGCTAGTTTGGGATTAATTCCTGGGAAGACTCCATCTGTACAGGCCTCTGATATGCAAAGACTGATTATAAGCATATGTTAGAGATTTCTGGGACAGATGAAAAGCTGTCACTACAGGGCTCAGAGCTAACACAGTTGCAGCTTGTCCAGCTGTAGGTCAGCTCATCTAGTGCTTTATTTTGAGGTGTACTGCTCCACTCAATGCCCCTGCAGCACAATAATCTATGAAACCAGTTATTTATCAGATACTATATGAAAAAAACAGAACTTCCCTCTTCAGATTGTTATTCTGGTATTTACAGAATACATATTTGGCACAGTTCAGACAGTGATATACGGTGACTGTAAAATCTGGAAATTATTTTGCATATAATGAACAGCACCATGTTTTCTCCTACGCAGTTCCCTCACTGGGATAAATACGTAAGTCTGTGCTAGCTTCCCTGCAGATCAGGACTGCAAATGAACTATCACATGACAGACACCATTGCAGGCTAGTTCTCCACCCCAGCAAATGATTTCCAGAATCCATAATGATGAGCAATTATTGCCCAGGAAAGAAAAAAAAAAAAACCTGATTATTCAGGGAGGACTTCTAAACTGATCTTAGGTTATGAGATATTTCAAAAGAAGCACTTCCAGAAGCTCCTGTTTTATGAGCACACATGTGGATTCACTTCCTCTTCCAATGCCACACCAGGATGCAACGATTGATTTGATCATTTAGCTGTGAAAGAAGTGCAGTTCTGGAAAAGACAGTAACATTGCATGCAGACAGCTAAAGATAACAACACTGACATATTTTCTTTATGTATTATCACTGTCTGCAGGCACTCACTTGTTTAACGCACCAGTTTATTAGCTCATAAACCATGCTCAGTCTCCTCTTTTTTACCAGCTATCAGCTGGCAATCTTAAAAAAAAACAGGAAAAATAAGTCTGATGTCATATATCAGAGAACTTTAACTATGGGTTGCCATCAGTTATATACTGGTTTATTGATCAGCCAGATGAGTGCCCAGATGAGGTAACTTTTTATTGATCAACATATCACATTCAGCTACAGATCAGAGTATGTTCTCCCACAAAAGCAATACTGGTATTATTTAAGATTCCCAAGGAGCAGTACTCAGCTTGCCATAAATCCTGCCGAAAGGAACAGAGCTATGGGAGAACGAAGGTAACAGTAGGTAAAACCCTGACCTCACTGAACTCAATGGCTACAGCTGCATGGGCTTGAGACACCCTGGGATTTCACTTCATGTATTTGAGATCTGATACTGCAGTCTGACAAGAAAGTATGCTGATGAAGGGTTTAGATGGCCAACAGTAATTATTTTAAGGACAATTTTTTCCATCACAAACTTTCTGCACTAACTTTCTACAACGAATAATTATACTCTCACCATAATCCGTGTTTTCTGGTTCCCAGCAGTTTGAAGGCCAAAAGTACGGTGCCTAAGAAACAACATACACATTTTTGTAATTTAAGAGATGAAAAACAATTCAGATGCAGAAGAACTTTACAAGTGTAAAAAGAAGAATCACAGAGTCTATGTCCCAGTCTCTACCATCAGGAGAAACACTGCCACAGATCTCAGTAAAAGCGAGGAAGCTTTTCCAGGAAGGTATCACTTTTAACATTCCTCACCACAGGTAAATGGAGGTGCTATAATACAAGCATCTCTTGAGGAGGATGTCCAGTGTCCTGATGACATTTTAGATGCTGTTGCCATCTCATCTGAATGTGGACCTCTTACCCTCTGTCTCCAGAACCTCCTCTTTCTCCAGGAATTCACAAATTATATATATATTTTTTTATATATCTATATATATATATATAGATATATACATTTTTTAGGACCGTGAGAAACCTCATGGCCTTTTATATATGCTACACACCACTTGCTTTTTTGGAGCAGCTACCAGTGTGGTTGGCAGCCTACAAAACAATTTACTTCTTAAATATAACAGATGGCAGAGGTCAAAACTCAGCTGATTAGAGTAATTCTGAAAGCAGAAGTTCTGCTAAGCTTACTGCTGCTGTTTTCTATCCAGGTCTGCATACTGCAGTTGCTACAATTAATTACAAGATATTACTACATGTGGCTGTATTTCAGTTTTAACATGAAAACTGAATGAATGAAACATGAATACCATTCATTAACATGAATGAAAAATAACATCCCTGTGATCACACAAATTACAGAGCACTGTTTTGCATTACTGATGTAAGGCCACAAATGGGCATAGGACATTACGCACACAAAGACTATTCCTTGCACCAAAGTACAGTGAGAAAACGTGGAACGATCAAACAATACAGGGTTCACTGCTCCTCACTGATATGTATCTTATGAACTTCACAAGATGATGAACTACTGTTAAAGGAGGGACTGATGTTGAGGTAGAGAGTGGCAAGAAGAGAGTAATGGAAAAGAAAAACGATTCTATCAGGTTATTTTTGCAGAAAACAGCTGAGGAGAACTAGTGCAGGAAATGACACCAGGCAAAGAAAAAGCAGAAGTTTCAGGAAAAGATAAGGGAAAGAAAAGAAAAGTCAACAAGCAGTCAAGACAATTTGATGATGTGGTTTACACAGGCTTAAAATAAGGAAAAGAAATGAAGCAATACTCTGCTTTTGAAATCTAGCTCCTGAGAGCTGCACAGGACAACTTCTTATAGTGTCATTCTTTTAAAATAGGGAGAAATACAACTAAATGGGCAATCAGTATTACCCCAGCTTCTGTCAAGTCTTGCATGACAGGAGGAGCGGGACTTTCAGAAAAGCAAGGGAACTGTCATGAAAAATGTTAGTCTGAATGACGCCAGGCAACCAGAAGGTGGGGTAAGATAAGGGGAGGTCTGTGATCTCCTGGGCTGCTTTGTTCACCGTGCCATTGGTCTCATATGATAACACAATACCACATCAGCAGTAGGACAGTGAGCATGAGCAGCAGCGACATCAGATGCAAAGGGGAGAACAGGCTTTTCAAATAAAAACTAAATAAGAGAAAGCAAATGTAAAGGAGGAACAGGAGGGGTGAACAGAAGAGAGGTCACAGGGAAGATCAAGGGAGCTGGCTGGGATCATGTAACAGAAAAACACAAATTCAGCCACAGCAGGATTAGGCAGTAGGACTCCAGGTTCGAACTTATTTCTTCTTTTAAAGTTATACAATCTGTCCAAAAGGAGCTGTTGCAGCACAAGCACTCAGTTATCTAAGAGGTTGACAGCAGCAGTTTTTGGAAAGGGCATGGAACTCAAGCGCAGGATGCTTTAAAAATTCAACACATCTGGAGACACAGGGACACTGAGGGATAGAGATGTCCCAGCTTAGGTGACTGCCAAGGATACACGTCCTCTGTAAAAGAGCCAAAGCCTGAAGCTTGCCCCCTCCCACACCGATCTGTAACCAAGAGAGAATAAAAATTTGAATTTTCTGCGGTGCCAGAACTTGAATGTCCAACTCCAAAGTTTGCCCTGGTCCATTTTGCACAGGAGGGTGGCTACTCAATTCTGTGCCAGGGTTAGAACCTGAAACTAATTTTTTTTTCTCCTGGTTTAGTTCAACTCCGAGTACAACAGCGTTAAAATCATGTATCAAAAATAATCACAGGACATACCAGTTCATTTGTGTAAAAACTGTGTGTCAGAAAGTAGAAGAGAGTGATTTGGGATTCTAAAGCAGATCTTTCTGAAGGGACTTCATAACCTCCTAAGGCCTCTACCAAAATAGCCTCAATCCCTGGCTTCACAGACCTAACAGAAGCTTAGAGATAAAGAGCGGGTGATTTCAGCTGTAATATTGCAGGGACAGTAAAAGGGGCCACAAGGAAAGCAGAGGGGTCACCAACCTGGAAACGATAGAATGTCCCATCATCTTTCAAGGTAAGGACATGGTCCGAGATGGGAAAGACATAGCCCTGTGCAGCGATAAGACTTCCCAAGTGTATTGCTTCCCCTGTGAAAGAAAGAAAACAGCAGGGATGCGTCAGGAAGATGTGCACTGCATGCTCCTCTGCTTTCAGCAGCGGCCCTGGCAATGACTCAAGTGAAGACCTGGTGCACACGTGCCTCTCTCTACCCCTGCTGCATCCTTACGCCTTCCAACCAAACCGTGGAAAGCAGGGGAGCAGAAATCAGCCTTACAGTACAGATGCAACGCTGCTCAAATGTATAACCTGCTGGTTTTATGTTTACAAAATGTCACACACCAGTTCAGCTCTAGAGTCTGAAATCCAATTCAAAGCACATTATCCATCACAGGTGACAGCTGAGAACAAGCCTGTTCCATCAGTGAACCCCACTTGCCTCTCTCAAATCTGACAAACACCTGCAACATCAGGTCATTAGCAGCATGTTTATTCATAAAGACAAATCCTGACACTGTAGCATTGCCATTTGTTAGGGGAAACAGCACCGAGGTAAAGGGGAGCGTGTATCCAACAACTGCCAGGGCAACCTTCACCACCACAGAGGTGCATTTCCATGGATTTTCAAGCAGCATCAGCTGTCAAAAGCTGCATCAACTTTCTCAGAGCTGCAAAATATACATCAGCTACTCATATGCCCCCAGGCAGATAATAAAGCTACTGCGTGCAGCTGAAATTCAGATTTGGGATTTGACTGGACTCATGAGAAGGGATATGTGTGTATAGGGAGGCAGGTGAGCTCTGCTTTCACATGGTGACAATAGGCAGCTGAAACAAACTGGGAGGTGAGATGCTGCATTTTTTCCCTTTCCAGATAAGGAAAATAAACTTCTAGACATACAGATCCTTTCTTCCTCTTTTTCCAATAGTTACTTCTTAACTGTGCCAAAGTGACGTTGGTTTCTCTGAAGAGTGAACTATTTGGACTGGGCCCATACACTGATCACTGTTTATGGCTGATTATCCACTTATCTATCTGCTGTGATAAATTAGCAGCCATCATCTGATCCCATGATGGTGTCTGTGTCATCCTTGGCCAGTATGTCCTGTCAGTCATGGCTGCCTTTCTCCACATCATGAAAACCTGTGTCTGCCTTTGCCTGCTTAATGACACACATCCACCAACTTCCTTTCTATGTCTGGGAACAACCTTAAAATCAATCTGGCCTTCTTAGGTAGCAACAACTTCACAGACAGGCTAAGACTCTTACAATGTGCTTTCTCTGGGTTGCAGTGTAAGGCATTAGACTTCTAATTAAGATAAAATGTTCTACTGGTATTTTAGACCGCAGTAACATAGTATCTACTGTCTAATGGCACACAACAGATGGAGTCTCTGTTCCTCCCCAGCTGTGGTCATCTTACCTGGATCCTCAATGCTGAGGTTCTTCATAAGCCACTGCACAATATCAGCACCTTTTAAAAAAACAAAAAAGTCAAAGAAAGCATTAAACATGAAGACCACAGGGTTTTAGAGCCCTAGAGAGAGATAACATTGAGATAGATACAATAGAACCAACATGAATTTTATTCCATTTCCCTTTTTATCTCCACTGAGGTTTCAGAATGTTTTTCCTTCTTGTGCCATGCTGTAATTATATAGTTATTGACAGGTACTAAGTCCCAAGAAGTATACTGTGTGATAGGAGCCTTGATATACTTTAAGTCAGATATTACTCTAATGGTTCCGTGTAACTTGTTCTCTCCCAGCTGCTTCTCTCTCACCTCAGCATACAGGGAGTTACATTTCTGCAAGCACTAGCTAGCAAGGAGATGAAGGAGCGTTTGCATTTACTGGCACCTTGCACCTGTAATGTCAGAGGCAATAATCTTAAAGTACAAAACCAAGTTATCAGTCAAAAAGAGACAGAGAAAAGTCTCGCTGATGCCAAAGACAAGCAATGTCTTGGAAAAGGAAGCGGGATTCAGTCTGCCTGTAACCAAGCCACTGTTGAGCTGTCACCTGCTAGTGATCGCACCAGCAGCACAATGGCAAGGAGCAGAGAAGTGAGTCTTTAAGGTCCACCAGGTAGCTTATTAGGTTTTCAGGGCCCATCAAGTAGTACAAAGCTTGGTGCTATCTTATAAACACCGTAAAGATTTCTAGGATTGATCCTCTGCATGTCTACAACCTCTCTGTTGCTCGCATGGAAATCACAGAAGTGGAAAACTTGTCACTGTCCAGTAGAAGCTAAGACCTTTTATCAAAATACAACATGACAGGGCAGCAAAATTTAGTTAAAGCGTGTAATCAGAAAGTTAAGCTTAAAATGAAACATAACGGCGTGTACAAGTCAGCTAACATGACTTGTCCGAAGTCAAAGGCAATCAGCAAAGGCACTTGGAGGCAATTTAGCAAGTCCATGCCAAGTTATGGTACCTTGCAGCACAACCTAAAGATGCTGTGTCTGGATACAGACATAACACCAAACCCTTCTCAGCGTACAGTCAATTTGTTGAGAATATTTGCACTCACATACAGTAGGCTAATAGCCCTGGTAATACTTAGTGCCATGCTTCATGATGTATCAGCTGAAGATAACATACAAAAAGGAACTGATCAACCATATGGTTCAGGCTTACTAAACAAACCTCAAAGGATCTTACTGCATGGAGCACTTCTGCGTTCAGACACGGTGGGTACTTCAAGAAACAGCATAACCCACACAATGCCTGTTCCAGAAAAGGTAGGAAGAATATTCTGTTTTCCACAGCCCCAAAGCATCCCCTCAATAAACCTTAAATACAATGAAAGCCAGGAGTCACAAGTATGATGTACCAACAGAGAGAGAGACAACAGGCACTGCTAGTGTCCCATGTCCCTGCAATATCTTCAGGTCTGAGCCACTCTCCCATACAGGTGAAACTCCCACTGGAAACATGGGCTCTACCCCACGCAGAAGGGGATGGAAGCTCCTGCTCCCCCCAACAAGGCAAGTTGACCTATGACTCCGCAAGGAGCACCATGAGACCTCTTCAGTCAGGCTTCAGCAGCAAACAGGAATATGGACCTGACCTCCCTCCTCCCCCACCCAAGGCAAGTAAAACAACTTACTCGTCCCCCGCAGGCAATCAGCAGAGCTTCTGAAGATCAGGGAAGCATCTGCTTTCACTTAAATACTGAGCAAACAGATGTGACCAACAAGCAGCAGCTGGGCATTGTCTCAATCTGCCTTGTACATATCAACAAACAGATACTAAAGGGCCCATCTCACAAGCTTGTATTCTCAGCTCTATGGTCGCTCTCCATACCTCCCAACTCCACGTAAAAGCAAGTTAGGTTGCCACTATCCTATTTGGAAAATTATTCCAAAGCCCCCCCCC